TAATACATACCCCAAACTTTAATACCAATGAGAATGTTTTTCCCATTTAAAGTGTTCTGTTTTAGTGACTTCCTATGGAAGGGCATTCTTTTATTCTGCTCCCTGACCCCTGTATCTATATCTGCTCACCTTTCCTAGCTACTTATCAGCTATCAGTACGTGAAACTCAAGTGGTGTAGACATGTCCCAATTGCTTTATTATGCTTCCCTTCATACAAAGTAGGTCCTTCTACCACCATATGTGATAGCTCACACACAAAGATCAACTAGAAGGTATCTACTCAGTAATTAATCAAGGAATGGGGACCTTTTATGCTCTTCATTTTGTCTGACTAAATCTATCCTAACACCTTCTAGCTCCCTTGTTTGTTTTTTGTCCTATCTGAATATTTGCACTGGTGTCCACCACCATGGATCAGACTTACGAGGCATATTGCATCCGCTTCCGCTTCCGCTTCCAAGATATCTTAATTCTTGTATTTAACAAGAAGGCTAAGGAATTGCCTGTATATGATTCTAGTGTGGATACCTTCACAGACTCTTTGGGTACCACCATGTTTAAAAACTGTACCTATAAACATTTATAAGGCTGGATACAAAGGAATGTTAACTGTCTATTAAACACATGAGAGCTTACTCATTCTGATGGAATTTAGTTATCTCCAATATAATCAACTTGGGAGGCTGGATAGCCATCTCAGTAACTAGGTGACCAAGGCTTACAATTTTCTACAGAGCTCCTGAGAATACTAACATGGAATTCTAAGAGCATTACATATACATCCTTTCAGTGTCTTCACTAATGTAGGTACTGAATCCCATGTTTTTAGTGGTGACTTGATATTCAGGGACATCCATAACCCATTCAAGACCATAGGTGTGGAGGTATTAAGCTACAACTTAGGAAGGTTAGGCAGGAGGATCTCTAGTTTTAGTCTAGCCTGAGCTACATGGCTAGTTCAGAGACAGCCTGTGACATATACTGAGACCCTGTCTCAAAAAAATGGGAAAAGAGGATGCAATCAGATAGCAGCATTATTAAACAGATGCATTCCAGGAGCAATAGCCTAAACTGTGGTAGACCTTAGAGAACAGTTCCCTCTCCCTTTGTTCAGCCATCTCAAGACCATCCCACTATATTCATTTATCACCACATCTACCAAACAACACATAGTACTCTCTATGAAGAACTGAGTATAGCACAGAAGCAGTTTACAAGGACCAGAGAGGATGAGGAAAACAAAAGTTGTCATGGTTTACTTACATTTTCAGACCATGAGATTGTTTTAGTTTATCTACACTCTGCCTTGATTTTTCCCCTATTATTCTAAGCACTCATTTCCATTTCCTGATGTAAAGAAACTGATTTACTCTATCTAAGGGAAATATATCATTGTATTAATACTTTATACTAAACCCAGGCTAGGCCAGGCAGTGATGGCTCACACCTTTAATCCCAGCACTCGGGAGGCAGAGACAGGCCAGATCTCTGTAAATTCGATGCTAGCCTGGTCTCCAGAGCGAGTGCCAGGACAACCTCCAAAGCTACAGAGAAATCCTGTCTTGAAAAGCCAATAAACAAACAAACAAACCTGGGCTCTAGCAATAAGATTTTGTATAACTCGGGCTAGAAGATGGCTTAGCAGTTAAGAATACTTCCAGAGGACTGGAGTTCCTTTCTGAGTACCTATGTCAAACAGCTCACAACTGCCTGGTAACTGTATCTCAAGGAAGTCCAATGCCCTCTTCTGTCCTCTGTAGGTACTGCACTCACTTGTATACACACACACACACACACACACACACACACACACACTCAAAGCATTCACGCATGCAAGCACAGAGGGAGAGGGAGACATACACACATGCACAGAATAAATCTTTAAAAAGATTTTGCACAACTTTTACATGTCACAAATAGCTAGAAAACTTAAGCATTGGTTTCCCTCCATCTTGATCTTCAGTAGATCCCTGAGAATGTTAGTGTATCTTTCACATTCCCAATATGAAGACTTGAATCATTTTTTCGATGAGTCTATGTCCTTCTTGTCATAGACTATGACAGTGGTCCTCTGTTGTCTTCATTTTAGTATACTGTATTTATGATATAAACTTTTCCATGAAAAAGGGAGTCCTCCTCTTCCAAGTTTTGCTTTTGTAAAACTCCCCTAGACCATGCACATTCATACATATTTGGAGACACTGTTATCAAGGTTTTTTTTTTTTTTTCTGTTCTCTTACCGGAGATGAGACTCTGCTATAACTACATATAGATCATGTATATAATTCATTTGAAGCTATGTTTTATTTTTATCCCTTTCATTACACAGTATTTGCTCAAAGAGTTTCAAATTACATAATGATTCACTCTACTACCCATCCAAAGGTTTACTAGCCCCATCCCAGTAGGGTCTAGCATGATATAAGGCACATAATATGGGGTCAAAAAATAGCTTGCTAAACTGTTAGAGAACCAAACCAGGCACCCTGGTAGAAAATATTAGTTAACTCTGGTACAATGGTGTATGCCTACAGTCCCCAATATTTAAGATACTGAGGCAGGAAGATCACTTGAACCCACAAGTGCAAGACCAGCCTGGACAATACAATGAGACCTTGTTTCAAAAATAAAGCAAAACAGGGCCAGTGAGATGACTCAATGGGTTAAAGTACTTGCCACCAAGCCTTATGACCTGAATTTGATCCCTGGGACCCACATGGTGGAAGGAGAGAGCCAACTACTGCAAGCCATGCTGCACACCCATGTACGTATACACACACACACACACACACACACACACACACACACACACACACACACACACCTTGTTTCTCAGAGCACGGGATGAAAGCATTTCTATAACTGCCTTGCTCTCATATCAACTTTCTTTCTGCTTTATCTCTATAATGTAGATAATCACAAAACTAAAATAAAACTGTGAAGCAAAATAATAAAATCAACTCCCAACTATCTCAGTGTGATGCATCCGCAGCTAGTTTTGAAACCCAGGTGAATTATGGAATACCACTAGATGTGTGTTCAGGGAACAACCATAATATTTGCCTAAACAGAATAAAAATAGGCAGGTAAATTTCAGGGGTAGGGAGACAGGTAGAGAATAACAATGCATTTTCTAAGTCAAAGAGAAATTGTTAATTTGTCAGCCAATCTGCTATTTTCAATTGGCCTGTCATCAGTCTCTCCCTATATTGGCATAGCTAACAGAGACCAATTGTTGACACCAAAGTCCACTCCAGCTGCAGAGAGATCTACTTTGAAGGCCACTGTTTTTCCTTTACCCAGAAGTTCGTTTTGGGGAACCCAGAACTTTCTTCAGTATTATTCCCTCCCATTCAATCACTGATGAGCATCTTTATCACAAAAGCACATCGGCTCCAGGTTCTATCAGCTTTCACAGAATTTCCAGAGACAGCTAGAAAGCCTAACTAGCCATAAATTAACACAACAGCCCTTCACTTTGGGCTGGAGGCATGACTAAGTGGTTAAAAGCATATATTGCTCTTGCAGAGGACCCTAGTTAAGTTCACAGCACTGACAGCATGCAGTTTCATGGAATTTGATACCTCTGGACCCCATGGGCACCTGCACTCACATACACATACCCAACACAACACACACACACACACACACACACACACACACACACACATAAAAATAAAGGGGATGGTAGAGTTGGTTCAATTGCTAAGAGAACTGGTTGCTCTTCTAAAGGACCCAGGTTTGATACCCAGCACCCACATGGCAGCTCACAACTGTCTTTACCTCCAATTCCAGGACACCAAGCATGCAAGCAGCACACAGACATAAATGCAGGCAAAACACACACATACACAAAATGAAATTTCAAAATAGATGAAAGGTTAGAGAGATGGCCCAGCTGTTAAGAGCATCTTCTGCTCTTGTAGAGGACCTGGGTTCAGTTTCCAGCACCCACCCACATGACATCTCACAACCATCTGTACCTCCAGTTCCAAGGATTCCAATGCTCTCTTCTGATACTATGGCACCAGGCATGCACATGGTGCACACACATACATTCAGGCAAGCACTCACACACATAAATAAAAATAAATAAATCTCTAAAAATAAACATTTTTAAGTGGTTATTTGAAAATGCATAAATCTAAAAACAAAAAAGTGGTATCGTGTGCACATGCATTCACTACACACGCATATGTGTTTAAGGTCAATGTCAAGTGTCATCTTCAATTGCTCTCTACTTTTTTTGAGATAGTCTTTCTCTGAACCTAGAAGTCAGTAGCAGACCTAGAGATCTGACTGTTTCTACCTCTCCAGCCCTAGCATTACAGGCACATCACAATTCCCAGATTTTACATGGGCACTAAGAATTGAACTCAGGTGCTCATATTTGAGCAGCAAGCACTTTACCAACTGGACCATCTCCCAAGGCCTTTTTTTAAAAAAATAAAGGTTACCTGAAGCCCAAAAGATCCCTTAAAGTTTCAACTGGATATACAGTCTTCAGTTCCTCTCCTGAAATAGTAAGTAGTGTCATGGCACAGCTGTTAAAGCAACTACCACTCTCACCTCAGAGGTAAATGCAGCAATGAGTTAAGGTGTTAATTCTTACCACGTAGTAAATGCTGGGTGTATACTAATTAAAGAGGACTGTAGAGAAAAATGACAATGGGCTAAGATACTAGGGGGGTAATAGAATGAATTTTTGTTTTTATTCGGCCACTGTATATGTTAAGTAACACCATAAGATACAATAAGAAATTTTAGTTCTAAAAATAGATCCCACGTGTTAAGTATATTAGCAGTTACTACATACATTTTCTCTTATATAATTTTAATCATCTACAATGTTAGTATCATCTCCATTATCTAGATGAGAACACCTCGGCTCAAGAAAGTTAGCGACTTGTTTCCTGCCGTATTACTAGGAAGCTGAAGAACAAGGACTCTAGCACAGGTCTGTCTTTGAAGCAGTAGATTAATTAGGATGCAAGCTCACCTGGGCATGGTAGAGCCAAGTTCAACTGAGTAAAGAGTCTTCACGAGAAAATATATTCAATCGTCTCACAGATCCAAGTATTCAGTGCATCTTCTCCCTGGGATTACATTTGTCGAATTACACATTTCACAAAACTCAGAAAAAGAAAATTTTCTTGCTGTCCTCATACCCCTTCATTAAGAAAATTCTACTGTACCCTTAAATGAAGCCAACACTGAGATTTCTAGACACACCTTAGTAATGAGGTAAGCAAATTTTGTTTCTTAGCAGATAGTAAAGAAGCCTCAAACACAAAGCTACTGCCCCGTAGAATTCAGTACTTCCCAAATCTTTAGCCCAAGTTAAACTCTTCTACTTCAAATTAAGTCACATTTTGCCTTATTTAACTCTATTGGGGAAATCTAAAAATTACTGCATTTTACTAACAAAAAGCCACAATTTCAAATTCATCACAATTCATCTACCAGGGAAAATACAACCTTGACATTCGGCCTGCAGTTTACTTTAAAAAAAAAAAAAAGAGGTGGGGCTTAGTACCTCACACCTTTAATCTTAGTTAGCACTTGGGAGGTAGAGGCATAGGCAGGCATCCTGGTCTTCAGGGACCCTGTCTCACAAAAACAAAACAAAACAAAATCAAAAACCTAAAATCCCCCCCTCAAAAGATCCAGGGTATTCTTCTCTTGGAGTCGTCCCACACACACACACACACACATACACACATACTCACACTCAGAGGAGTTTTTTTTTCACTGTTCCTTAACAAATCTACTCTTACTCTGCTAAAAAAGATCAGTTTTTACATGTTTTATGAGGAAAGAGTTGCTACCGAAAAAAAAAAAAAAAAAAAAAAAGGAAAATCTACAAAAGCTTATTGGGATTATGGGGGAAGTAACAGAGTTAAGTTTTCCCCTTGACCAGAACACAACTTTAGTTCACTGAAGAATGTTTTCAACATAAAAGACTATTTTAAAGTTATGAATAGCAAGAAAGGATATGATTTAGAAAGAGGATGATTTCCTACATTTTATAAATTGGCATGAATAATGCCTGGCTCATATAAGAGATCATATAAAATACTGCCCTAGAATCCCCTAGTGACAGAAAGGTAGATTACTCATTTCCTCCCTCTTTAACTGTCCTGACACTAAACACTCAAGCAGATACAGACTCAAACTGATTTCCAATGCTAACATTAAGAAATCTCCTTTCCTTCTTTAAAAAAACCCCTCAGGTCTAAGTGCTCCCCTCTCCTTCACATTCATTCTCCTTCAGTTTAATTAAGTAACATGTTTCACTTGCCCTGCTCTCTCCGTTCCCTAGTGTTCATTCCCACCCAAACTCAACATGGAATTTTCACCATGGTTTCTCAGAGGATAGCTGGCCCTGGGAAAAAGCTCTATGCATCTAACAGTCAACCCAATCAGTCCCAGACAGCTCCAACTAGAATTCATGAACCAGTGTAAATGTCCAGTCAAACCTCTTCTTGGTGCCCTTAACTGCACCCTCCAATTCTGGCTCAAGGCTCTCAGGACCCTCTTCTTCATCCTGTTTCACTCTGGAATTTCTATCACTTGCCTCCTTATGTCTAGGATTCCTCCCACTTCCAGACTGGAAAAAGTGGTGGATTCCCAGTTTCTCCTATTCTCCATTCTATTTGAGACTAAGACTCCTTTTCCCCATTCAGAATCCTTATATTCATCAGGATTTCCTAAGAAAGGCTTCAGCTTAATTAATGTCAAGTCTCTGATTCCTGAGTCCTCCCATAGTAGTGGCTATCAAAAGTGAATCTTTACAGCCCTTAATACCAGCTCCATACAACATCTGAATGCTTCTCTCCTACAGCTCTTTACTACTCTCCTTTTCTTTCACATTGTGGAGTCTTTTTCTGTTTCAACATTTAGGCTTGAACTCGGGTCATCACACATGCTAGGCAAGCATTCTAGATGCCCAGCCCATACTGTGCATTTAAAAGTTTTAACATGTATACTACCTTTACTTCTTTATGAGTAAACATATTTATACTTCTCTCTAAATCCAGTTTCTCCCTAGCCCTATTTTTATCCAAGATTTTCTTTCTTGCTCCAGCAATTCTAGCACTAAAGGGTAAAGAGCCCTAAGGGTTCTTCAAACTCTTTGGAAAACATTACCCTGGAGATTTCGAGGTGCTGCTTTCTCTTTAGTTAGACCTGACATGAGAACGGTGATGGTCACCACCTTCCTTTCCCCCTTCACTGTCCTGCAGACCCTCTTTCCAACTTGTTTTGCCTTCCTTCTTTCTAGTGGCAAAACTCTTTCTCCCTGTGATTCTGTTTCTGTCAGCAAAGCTCTTCCCTACAGCTCATAGTACGGACTGATCATGCCTTGAGGTCCTCTGCCACCATTACCAAGCATTTACTTGCGTGTGTAGTGAACTGGATCCCCAATAAGGCACAGGTACACACTCCCAGAGAAGCCCCCTTTGCTTACCAAGAGCCTCTGAGTCAGTGAGGAAGAAAAGGATCTCTTTCCCTGCCCCCCCCCACCTTCCTTGGAAAATCAAAACACACAGCCAGATCCATGAGTGCTCTTGGTTCAGCCCCCATTTCTTCTAGAACTTCCCTCTACTTTGAACAATACGGACTCCAGCCAAGCAGGCTAGGACTCACTTAGCTTTCCTCTGCCCTATCCCAACAATTAACCACCCCTTCCTTATTGCACTGTTTCAGAGAACTAGCCTACTTTTAACCCAGTCTTCTGCATCCCTTCCTCTATCAAGTAGGTATCTAGTTCTCTTCATCTCAGAGTCAGAACAAAAAGAAACTTACATTCTCATCCTGCAAAGCTGGTATGAGTCAGACACACACACACACACACACACACACACCCTCGGCCCCAGACAGGGTTTCTCTGTAACAGCACTGGCTGTCCTGGAACTCATTCTGTAGACCAGGCTGGCCTCTAACTCAC